ACCGGGACACCTGGCCCTTCCCGCAGCGGCGGCGGCGGCGGCGGCATCCCCTTAGGGCCGGGCGCTAGGGTTGTGACGGGCACACAAACCCCGGGACCCAGGCGCAAGACCCTGTGGAAAGAAGCCACGAGCCTGAGAGACATCATGCGCCTCAAGACAAGCGAGCAGGATGATGCTCACTCCCGAGAGGCGACCTCGCTCCCGTTTCTGAGTCCCGTGTGTGCGGGAGTGAGCCCCGTGAGCACGCCCAGGAGGTTCCCCAAGTGTGCGGCTCTCCCGTCAAACAAGTTGGCGACGAATTGAAAATCCGCATGGTCGTCGCTGGGGCATGGGGAGAGTCCACGCGGGGCCGTGTGCGGCTCCTCCAGAATGGTCCACAGCCCCAGCCCGGCGTCCCCAAAGCTGCCTGGGGTGCAGGCACGCCTCTGGGGAATCCTATTTTCATGGCAAACCGTCGCCTGCCTTGGAGGACATTCGGCCCTGCCCCAGACGCCCACAGCGGAGCCTTGTACGTCCCTCACCTTGGGTCCTGTGTGCCATCGTCGGACCAGTAGCATGATAGGGTTCGTGCGCAGTCCTCCTCGAAGCCCAAAGGATCCATACGCCTTCTGGGCCGTTGGAACCCAGGGAATTGTTCTAAGTGCGGCCGTTTGGGGCAGGGCTGACATCCTACACCTGTGTGGTGTGGACCCAGCATCTCCATGGGCATTCCAGCCAGGACTGGATGCCTGCTACTCCTTGCCTGGTGTGGGGGGGTGCGCCTTCTGGCTGGCTCCCTGCAGAGCCCTATGGGTGCAAAGCCAATCCAGGGTGGGGGGGAAATGCAACGTAAAAATATGTCCATCTGTGTATTTGTGGTTGCATGCACGGTCTCGCTGCAGGGACCTCCTGCTGTTCTTTTGCCCACCCGAGACCTGACATCACAGCCTGAAAAATCCCACTCAGCGTCTGAGGCTGAGCTTTCTTTGTAGGAGCCACTGATGGTGACCTCCCAGCGATCAGACCACAGGTATGGAGGGTATGTTGCAAGAAGGCTTCGTCCGCCAAGAATCCCAGGCAGATTTGCAGCGGGCTCTGCTCAGATGCAATCAGTCACAGATCTGTCTAGACAGGACCCCCTTGGGGTTCACGGGGGGGGGGGCGGGGCCAGAGATGGCTGAGGTCATCCAGTCCTTGCACGGAGGTCACGGGAGTGAGCTTTTCCCTGGACCCAGGTGGGTGTCAGGTGCTGTGGGGTGTTGCTGTTTCATTGGCATTCCTTGGGCTGCGGATGAGTCAGGGTTCTTCAGACACACAGAACCCACAGGCGACAGAGAGAGGGACAGAGAGGGAGATACAGATGTAAGTATAGATCGTCTCCGTGTGTGTCTTTCTAACTGTATCACGATCTAGCCGTTAGTTACGTATCTATCAGCTCTATATGTATCTGCATGTCTATTTACTTATTTGTGTCTCTGTCATCTCTCATCTATTGATCAATTGATCAATCTTTTTTTTTAAAGATTTTATTTATTTACTTTTTTTTAAAATATTTTATTTATTTATTTTGAGAGAGAGAGAGAGAGAAACATCAATGTGCAGTTGCTGGGGGTTATGGCCTGCAACCCAGGCATGTACCCTGGCTGGGAATCGAACCTAGGACACTTTGGTTCCCAGCCCGAGCTCAATCCACTGAGCTACGCCAGCCAGGGCTTATTTATTTACTTTTTTAGAGAGGGAAGGGAGGGAGAAAGAGAGAGAGAGAGAGAGAGAGAGAAACATCCATGTGCGGTTGCTGGGGGCCGTGGCCTGCAACCCAGGCATGTGCCCTGACTGGGCATCGAACCTGCGACACTCAATCGATCAATCTTGTATAGATCTGTCATGTATCTGTTTACCTGTCATCTATCTATCTATCTATCTATCTATCTATCTATCTATCTATCTTCCTATCATCTATCATCTATGTATCTATCTTTATCTATCTGTACAGAAATACAGAAGGAGGAAGACCTTGACTTACTGAAACAAACGGGCTTCCATGATGTGCCAGCTGGCATGTCCCATACCCATAGGGCGGCCCAGCAGCGTGGAAATTCAGGTCAGAGTTGTGTTGCACAACTTCTGGCTGGCGTAGCTCAGTGGATGGAGCGCGGGCTGCGAACCAAAGCGTCGCAGGTTCGATTCCCAGCCAGGGCACATGCCTGGGTTGCAGGCCAGGTCCCCAGTGGGGGCCGTGTGAGAGGCAGCCACACATTGATTCTCTCTCTCTCTCTCTCTCTCTCCCTCCCTTCCCCTCTCTAAAAATAAATAAATAAAACCTTTAAAAAAACTCATAAAAAAAAAGGAGTTGTGTCGCCACGTGAAGTCCAAGCTCAGCGGGACAGCGGGTCAGAAACCCGGGCCGGGTTTCCCCCCAGTGGTGACCTCCCAGTGATCACACCACAGGTCCCCCTGCCGAGGGGACTGTCTGAGGCCCACCCCCGGGCTGCAGGGTCACGCGCTGCCCCTGAGGAACCCTCCGGACCTAAATGGCCCTCACAGCCCTCACACGCCTTCCCGGCAGCGTCGAAACGACTGTTTGCCCAAACCGGGCGGCCCAGCCCGGCCAGGCTGACACCTGAAACCGCCCCTCGCAGGTTGTCTTTAATCCTGACCCGACGGTGGGCAGTGACTTCAGCTCGAGGACACAGCCCCCTGACTCAGTGGAGCTGCAGCGGCGTGGAGGTGAGTCACCGCCGGGACCTGCGGACGACAGGACAGAACGGCATCTGTTTTCCCCATCCGCCCCTTGATGTGCCCGCCAGGCCCGGGAGCGGGGCGTGGTGTTAGCCGGGCAGCTGCACGCCACGGGCAGAGCGCCCCTCCAGCTGCTTTTACCACACGGCAGACACCTCCTCTGGACGGCCTCTGGAATCCTCCCCGTCACCTTCCCGCCTCTGTGTCTCCTCATCTGGAAAAATGAGGATTCCGACGGCCCCCCCCCCACCCCCCCACCCACGGGAGCCGTGGGAGTTCCGAATGCCACCCTTGGAGATCATGCCTGGCAGCTCGGAGGCGCCCACTCGATATTCAGGCTGCAGGCCTGTTTCCTGCGTACAGAGAGCCGAACTCGGCCTTGCTGTGTTCCGCGGAGAGGAAGCGTGACTCACCGTTCATTTGAGGCGACGTGGGCAGGAGCACACGGGGTGACTGCTTCTGTGGCAGCCGCTGGGAATACTGGGAGTCATTAAGGAGAAAGAGAGTCACGGGAACCCACCCACTATGAGACAATGAATTGGCTCCTTGGACAGGAGGAAGACCAGGTTGCAAGGTCCACAGACAGGAGTGGCGGGTACCAGGGTCCAGGTGGCCAAGAGACACTCCCAAACCTACTGGGGCACCTCCGTGACAGGTCTTCCTTATTGACAGCCCCCCTTGTCCCCCCCCACGGCCCGTGTGATGCCAGTGCTGGACCCTGAACCCTGCCCCAGCACCCCCAGGAGAGCCCGAGGCCCACCCCACGGCGGGACCTGAAGGTGGGGGGTTACTCTCCAGGGAGAGCTCTTGTCTGGGTCTCACCTGATGCTAATGCGTCTACCTGGGAGAATCTGGCTCAGGGCGGCATTCCAGGTGCCCAGTATCCTGGAACACAAAGCATGGGCTTCCCAGCCTCTCTAGTCTGGGAAGGCGGATGGGAAGGGGTCTGAATCTTTTTTTTTTAAGGTTTTATCTGTTTATTTTTAGAGAGGCAAGGGAGGGAGAGAGAGAGAGAGAGAGAGAGAGAGAGACGTCAATGTGCGGTTGCTGGGGGCCGTGGCCTGCAACCCAGGCATGTGCCCTGACTGGGAATCGAACCTGCGATGCTTTGGGCATCTGAATCTTGTGGGTGGAGGCCCCCGTGACTTCTAGGCCTCCATCGTCATGGCGCCCACCTCCCCATGACCAGTGTCTCCCCATCTACAAACACGGGCTCTCTTTCTCTGAAGAGCCAGGACGGAGACAAGTCCTCTAACCAGGGAGCGAACCGGTGATCTCCCACGCGCCAGTTGCCTGCGAACGTACAGGATCTAAGAACCACGTAAGCACTGTTGAAGTGGTCGGGGAAAAAGTCAAAAGAGCAATCCTCCGTGAGCCCGGAAAACGGCGTGGAAGCCGAAGGCCAGGGCCCACGGATAGTTTCGCCGGCATTGGCCACGCCCCCTCCTGCAGTCCTGGCCTGTATCTGCGTATCCACAAGGCGGGGTGGCGTGGTTGGAGCAGGGATGGTAGGCGTGTCCAGAAGAAGCCCCCAAAATATTTCCTCCCTGGTCCTGTACAGACAAGGGTTGCCAAGCCAGGCACTACGTCTTTTGAGTACAAACCGAGAGAGAACGGAAAAATCCCCCGTGAATTTGTACATAGGCCCACGCCCTTGCTGCTGAATCTCTCAGAGAGAGTAACAAGCAACCAGCAGGTGTTAATCACCCCGTGTGCCTTATCAGTGCCACGTATACATTTCAGTACCATGTACCAAACTCTTAATTTAAGAAAAAAATTCTCCCCCCTGGCTGGCGTGGCTCGGTGGATGGAGCGCGGGCTGCGAACCAAAGCGTCGCAGGTTCGATTCCCAGCCAGGGCACATGCCTGGGTTGCAGGCCACGGCCCCCAGCAACTGCACATGGATGTTTCTCTCTCTCTCTCTCTTTCTCCCTCCCTTCCCTCTCTAAACATAAATACATAAATCTTAAAAAAAATTCTCCGTTTTCCAGAATGTGTGATCTCAAGAAAACGGATGGTTCTGTAGCTCCTCCTAGACAGTACTAAGACGTTGGCAAGGACCTGCAGCTCCCGAGACGGGGGTCTTTTCCCTTCACCCTTCAGTCTCGCGTTTTCACAGAGCAGGGAAGGGCTCCCCGGGCTGGCCCGCGGAAGGAGAGACCTTCAGGTCGTTAATCAGCGAGTTCCAGCCGTGCACACGGCAGAAAGAGTGGAGCCCCACCACATGTGGAAAAGTGCTCTCGGGGCTGACCTCACCCTCCCTTTGCTGTCTTTGGCGCAGGCTGCCGCGTAGGTGCTGCTTTTGCTCAAAGAGACGCCAAGTGGTTGAAGAACTCTGGGCTGCCGACGCACTGCCGCACGGTGACCTAAATAGAGGGACCAGGTACGAGTTTCCAGCCTCTGCGGTGACTCACCTCCACCTGTCAGGCTCCCGAGGTTTCCGGGGCTGAGGCCGAGTCCTGGGGGGGCTGGGTAGGCGGGAGTCTGAAAGGGGTTCCCCGTTTTAGGCCCTGCTGGGTCGTTTGTTCTGCCTTCCCTACCTGGAAGGAATGAGTGTTCGGGCAAGGAGGACCCTTGGCGAAGGAAGCTGGAAAGGACACTTTCTCCCGAGCAGGTGAGGTCCCCAGGTGGGAAAGATGAGGACCTGGTGTCTTCAAGAGCATTCACTAAGGCTGTTGGAAGAATCCTCTGTCCCAATGTCAAAGGGTTCTGTTTTTAAATGATCACGTTGGCCAAGAAGCCCGTAGTGTACGGTTTTCTCTGTAAAATAAAAGACATTTTTTAGCCCTGGCTGGGGTAGCTCAGTGGATTGAGTGCGGGCTGGGAACCAAAGTGTCCCAGGTTCGATTCCCAGCCAGGGTATATTCCTGGGTTGCAGGCCACGGCCCCCAGCAACCGCACATGGATGTTTCTCTCTCTCTCTCTCTCTCTCCCTCCCTTCCCTCCCTAAAAGTAAATAAATAAAATCTTTTAAAAAAAGACACATTTTTTTTCATTTCCACCAATAATTTTATCGATTTGGGTGTTTTGAGGGTGTTGGCTCTCTCTCAGGTGAGGAGACATTGATGGCTCTCAAGGGATGTCTCAAGTTGATCACTGTCACCTTCAGCTGGTCTACCGGACCTGGGGCATCATCCGGCGCGAAATCTCCCGCAGGAAACGTCACAACCCGCTTCTGACACGTCCCAGCAGTCCCGGCCCCTTCTCCACGCACGGCCCAAACCTGTTTTCACCTTCCCGTTGCGTGTTTACCGTTCTTGAAACAATAAAGCGTAGCATCCCGAACGTGCTGCGTCTTTTCTTCCCTCTTGCGTGTTAAAATGTCTGCACAAAAATTCGCCGATTTTGAGAGGTTCTCTTTAGGACAGCTGTGGCCGTACCGCCTAGCGAAACTGTTGTGAATGAACTTGGAGAGAACTACGTGTGACCAGCGCCATCGTACGGAAAGAACCGAACAAGCGTTTGACCGGTTGACAGTGTGACAAGTCCCTTCGCTTTCTGGAAAGCAGGAGGTGCCTGGGTGCGTCCCCGCCATCAGTTTCCCGTCAGTTCCTTGAGGGAAGGGAAAAAGCCGAATTGGAATCTCGATGTGGGGCAGGGCTCCTCTTAGCGTTTTTTAGAAATCCCGGAGTGTCCCCGGGGGGGCTAGAGGGGCCATCTGGAGCCAGACCCCGGCCAGCCTTCCTCCCACTCATGTCGTCCATCCAAGAGCAGATAAAGTCATCTTGTACAGAAGCCAGTGTTGAAGGGTTCGTCTTGTACGGTTTTCTCCGTAACGTAAAAGACACACATTTTTTTTCATTTCCACCAATAATTTCATCGATTTGGCTGTTTTGAGGATGTCGGCTCTCTTGACTACATGTCACTCATTGGAGTGATCCCCAGTCCCGGCCGATGCTTTATCTGTCACTTCCGTTCTTCTCTTCGTTCTTGGAAGACGCCGTAGCCTTTGCAATGGATGAATCGGGGGGGGGGGTGGGCAGGGGGGACTTTGTGGCCACCACGGGACCGCACACTTGGGCTGGGACTGGGCAGTGTTTGAACCCTGAGCAAAGGGAGCTCAAGAACAAAATCGTGTCCAACCAGCAGCAAACCGTGAGTGCATTTGGAAGTGTCAGGAAGGACCCACCATCAACCAGACTCCCTTCTCCCCAATGTGTGAATAGATGCTCTTTCTGAATAAGAAAGATGAACAGCACTAGAGAATTAAAAAAAAACAAAACACAACAAACTCCGGGGTATAAACATGGCTTTCTTATGTTTTTCCATCTGGACTTTAAAAGATTTTGTTAATTTACTTTTTAAAAAAAATAAACACGTATTCAGCTTCTCCCTATGAAATCAAGAGGGCATTAGTAATAACTATATTCTTCTCTTCCACCACTTGACCAGATAGGTTGTGTTACAGCGTGTGGGGCCATTTACCACGCACATCATAGCATCCCCTTTTGACTAACTTTCTGATATTTTTTTTTATAGACCCAGTTTGGTTTTCCCAGGGACATTATTACTTTTTTAATAATAAAGTGCAGTGCTGACACCCTCCGGTCTCTCATAAAGTCCTCTGGTGAATGAGAAAGGAACTTTCCATTATTAATGCAAACCACATGCTGAGGTTGCGATGACATCAGTGGGATTCCTGTAGAGGGATGGGATTTGGGGAGGTTCTGTGCAGCTGAGAGAGAGAGAGAGAGAGAGGGAGGTCTACAGCTTACTCAGCACTATGACTTACAGCAGAAGGGACAGATGGAGGAAGGGAAAACGCTGGGAATAAGAAGGGACACAAAGGGACACAAAGGCGATGAGCAATCAGACCGGAGACAGACTGCACGGATGGCGCTCTGACCACGCCGCGTGAGCCGCGTGGCCCCTGGCCGGCCACGTCCTCCTGAGATGTGCTGTTGCTGCTGCTGCTGCTGTGTCGTCTCCTGGAGGAAAATGCGTCTTCAGAGGCAATGACCACACCCTTCCCTCCTCTTTCCAGCCTCCCTTTCGGCCGCATCCTTAGTCACGTCTTGGCCAGCAGGCATCCCCTGGCCAGCCTGACGCCCCTATCCACCCTCCCCTTTCTCAGGGTGACTCATCCCATGGACATTCCCTTTGCCTCCTTCCTCTCCTTTTTTTTTTCCACCAACGTTGCATAAATGCCAGATGCCAGGTGGTGCTAGACATTTTTCAAAGGAAGAAGTAGGGTGGCCATTCTCTGGTGTTCCTGTGTTTTCACTTAGAGGGTTTTTCTTGACCTTCTCCTTCCTGGAAGTTATTGTCGATGCTCCTCTCTCTCTCTCCCTCTCTCTCTCCCTCTCTCTCTCTCTCTCTCTCCCCCATTTCTCTCTCTCTCTCTCTTTCTCTCTTTCTTTCTTTCTTTCTTTTTCTTTTTCTTTCCTCCCTCCCTCCTTCTTTCTCTCTTTCCTTCCTTCCTTCCTTCCTTCCTTCCTTCCTTCCTTCCTTCCTTCCTTCCTTCCTTCCCTCCTTCCTTCCTTCCCTCCTTCCTTCCTTCCCTCCTTCCTTCCTTCTTTCCTCATCCATGGACAGGCTTACTGATTTTACATACAGGAAAAAGTGGGACAAGAGGGAGGGGGGAAAGAGACATCAATACGAGAGGGGAACATCATCTGGTTGCCTCTCACACGCACCCTGATCATGGAGCAAACAAACCATACACGTGGACTGACCGGAAATTGAACCCTTTCGGTTTACCAGACAATGCTCCAACCCACTGAGCCCCACCGGCCCTCTGTGAAGTTTGGGAAGGGTGAGAAGTCACGGGGGCCTGCTGTGCCTTTGAGGAAAGTCACGCAAAAGTAAAATATTGAGAGAGCAGGAGAAGGAAGGAAGGTAAACAAATAGCAGGAACTACAGGCTGCCTGCTTCCAGGAGACGGCGTCTTCTGAGCCCAAGGAAGCCACGCCAGCAACGGAAAGGAAAGAACGTCCCAGCTTCCAGTTGCAGGGGATTTCCCAAAGTGCCGCTATGCGTTATGCCGAGTGCATACTGGGCTTATGTGCTTCCTCCCAGGTGTAAGGGTTTACAGAATCCTAAACCTCCGTGTGGGAAGCGGCCCTAAATCCGGGCATCTCCATGCCTTTGAGTAGTGTTTTCAATCCAGATTATAAATCAGAATTTTGAGGGGAGAATACTGTGAAGGTTTATGGACCCGGCCCCACCCTAGAGAATGTGGTTCAGCGGGTCTGGAGGAGAGGAGAGAACATTAGGTCTGTATTTGAGGAAAAATGAATCAAGATAACTTCTTATCGGGACCCTTCAAAAGTCACCATTATTGGGCAAGAGAGTGTCTTCAAAGGGGTTAAATTTTCATCTTGACCGCACCTAAGAACTATGTGAATGAGGAAATGACACCATCTGCCAGCTCTCGGCCAAGCAAGAGAAGATGATTTCCTGCTGTGTATTCATTAGCAGGCTGGGGCCAGTCCGCCGGGCCAACGGTCTTTCCCGCCGGCTGGCCACTGCATCACTCCCCAATGGACACGATGCAGGCTCGCTTGTGGTCTGCACAGCAGAATAGGAGCGCTTTGGGGCGCACCGAGGGGCCCCGTTCGGGGGAGCCCCAGGGTCTCTGGGGGTCTGTTTTGCCCGTTACCCGTGGGTGGTTCACGCCAATGCTTGGCCATGTTGGTGGACAAGGAGGACACGAAGCAAAAACTGGACGTTGGGTGTCATCCACGGTGTGAGGAAGGCGGGAGGGCCGGTCCCGGATGACTGGATGAGATGAGGGCCGCACGCACAACCTCGGAGAGTCTGCCGTGGGCTGGACTGATGGGAGAAAGCAGGAAGCAAGGCTGTGAAGGCTCTCCGCGTGTCCCCGGGCACAGAGGGGACACATGGCGGTGGAGACAGTGGAGGGGTGTAGAGGACGAGTCAGTGATGGACACGCTTGCTCACAGCACTGGGGCTCACCTTCTTCCCTCCCTCCTTCTTTCTCCCCTTCCTTCCCCTTCCTTCCTTCCTTCTTTCTCCCCTTCCTTCCTTCCTTCCTTCCTTCCTTCCTTCCTTCCTCACAGCACTGGGGCTCACCTTCTTCTACAAAGTGAGGTGCAGCTCCGGAGCAGCCAAAGCCACCGCACGGGCCTGACTTTTGTTCTAGACTTGCCCGCCTGTCCAACACACGTGTGCACCCCAACATGGTTTCAGGGCATGTCCTTTCAGCTTCTCCTCCTTCTCCTTCTCCTTGCCTCTTTTCCTCCTTCTCTCTCTTTTATTTTTATGCCCCGTAGAGGTGTTTCCTCGGGCGAGGCTGGACACAGAAGAGTAATTCATGTGTACACCATGGATGGGTCCCTACTGCGCCAAAAACAGAGACACGAAAGGGGCAGCTGATTTCACACACGTGTGTGTGTGTGCATTGCATGAGCTCATACGTGGAGAGGCAGCATCCTGTCGTGAACACGGCACAGAGAAGAGGTACGAACAAGGAGTCGATTTCAACGGCCCTTCTGCCGGTGGCTGTAGGGTGCATGCGTTCATGCTTCTTAAACTCTTTTCTCTCCCTCTGTAGGGATCACACCTGTCACAAATATCGGCGGGGGTATTTGAGGCCGGGCTTCCATCAAGTCCGGGAACAGAGCCGTGTCTTGCTCCTGGCGTGATCTAGGGGGAGGCGGGGAGGCAGGGGCTCTGAGCTCTCCAGCGAGCAGGGCTACTCTTCAGTCTGACGGCAGACGAAGCGACGGGAGCCCGCCGAGGGCAGCCCGGGAAGTTCGTTCTCTGCAGGTGGGTCCCACGATGATTCCCGAGCAACCACCAGGACGTGCACTGTCAGCCCGTACACAGTGACGTAAGCGAGCCCTCCCTTTAATTCCTTTGATAAAGGCAGCAGAATCTTGGCTGCGACATACACAAAACTCTTACCGTGTGGGACGAGGAAAAGATCAGCCAGCAAAAAGATGGCCAAAAATAACAGGAATTGGGAAACGATTTCTACTGTCCATTAGCATAGTCCCCCCTCCCGCCAACTAGTGAGTATTTTAAAAATAGTAATCAATAATCCAATATGTGACAGGTCTATGGAGTGGTCGTTGCTGAAGAATTACTGACCGAAGAGATAAAGCTGACTCGATGCCCCCGGAACACGGCCACAGAATACAAACGAAAAAGACATCTGAAAGATCGTAAACCTCCACCCAAAACCCAGCGAGGGCCCCCTAGGGAGGGAAGCTTGAAAA